AATTAATTAGTACTAAACGCCAGAATTTAATGAATCAATTTAAAGTTTGACGAGTGCGGTAAAGTAATCGGCAACTTATGATGAACTAATGAGAGAATGCTCTAAAAATAGAACTGATAAATAAACAATCATAAATAACAAGATCCATTCGTTTCCGCCCGTCAGCAACTGGTCTGGCGCGACGCACAAAATTTCTCTTATATTTAATTTCATCAAAAATTGTTTACAATGATTATATTCCACTCAATCGAACGGTACTCTCATGGGCTGTATACCTAAATTCACAAATGTTAATATTCATGTACTTAAAGTCTGAGTTAGTGGCACGATAAAATTACTTAGTGTTATTTTTTTCTAGATAAAAGTTAGGTTCACTCAAACGACTCAAAACTCTATACGAGATAATCCATGATTATTAATGTTTCATAAATATAAATGAAAGCTTTATGAAGGCTTAAAATTAAGATTTTGATTATAATGTAATCGGTTTGAGCGGAAGGATCTAAGACTGAAGTAGTGTGTTCGTGAAGGCTTTCATTATGTCTGACTAAAATCATTATCATCATTATATCATATATCAGCCATTAATATCAATATATCATAATGTCGAACAATATCCCACATCTCAATGATCTAATCATAACGAATAATATCTTGCATTTCTCAATGATGAACAATACATTCCATCATCCAGTATTAGTATCAAAGAAGTAAGGTAGGTTTTCCTTATCTCATTTCTTCTAAAACTGCCATTGAATGCAAATTAGAAAACAATTCGCATTATCACTCTTGGAGAACCCCTCGAGCCCAGGGAGCCTGAGGGGTTTATGATTCGATAATTAATGATTGTGTGATGTTCACAATTATTCAATAATTAATGCTTGTGTGATGTTCACAATGATTCGATAATTAATGATTTTGAGGGAGCCTGAGGGAGCTTGAGGGAGCCTGAGAGAGCCTGAGGGAGCCTGAAGGAGCTTGAGGGAGCCTGAGGGAGCCTGAGGGAGCCTGAGGAAGCCTGAGGGAGCCTGAGGGAACCTGATGGAGCCTGAGGGAGCCTGATGCAGCCTGAGGGAGCCTGAGGGAGCCTGAGGGAGCCTGAGGGAGCCTGAGGGAGCCTGAGGGAGCTTGAGGGAGCCTGAGGGAGCCTGAGGGAGCCTGAGGGAGCCTGAGGGAGCTTGTGGGAGCCTGAGGGAGCCTGAGGGAGCCTGAGGGAACCTGATGGAGCCTGAGGGAGCCTGAGGGAGCCTGAGGGAGCCTGATGCAGCCTGAGGGAGCCTGAGGGAGCTTGAGGGAACCTGAATTAGCCTGAGGGAGAATGAGGGAGCCTGAGGGAGCCTGAGGGAGCCTGATGGAGCCTATATGGTGGGGAAGTTGTACGAAGATCACCTTGGACGGGTTACCAAGGGACGGGTTAATACCGTGCCTATGGTAGCAAGGGCAATAAATGGAGAATAAGTAATTCTGGTAGTTTATTCTAAAAGGTGAGCGAGAGACTTGAATTAATTAGGAGAACTTAGAGAGACCCAGTGAATTAATTAATTAATTTTAACACAACACACGAGACAACACTCAGAACAGCTTTGTAGTAGCACGGCAGAAGTGGAATAGGCTTGATTAGGCTGCGCACCCTAATGATGTTTGCCAGAGGGCTGTAGCTGAAATTTGCGCTACGTACAAGAACTATCGTGAAGTACATAGTAGACATTGTCATTATCACAACTTAAAATTAATACAAAATTACTGCATATTAAATTTATTAAAACTGACCATGGTTAACTGGCGTATGTTGATGGTTATGTTGTCTTTTAAATCCTGCCTTCGTGGTTGACCGTAAAAGAGGTTCAGTGGTGTGAATTATACATAATTGGCATCAAACTGTATAAAATCTCGTTTTGTTCTGATAATGCTGCTGATATTAGGAAGTAGAACCCTTAACAGTAATGAACAGTAGTTTTGACCTTGATATATAAATTCACACTGAAGAATAATAGCTCTGGCTATTTATCTAGAGATATAAAAGTTAGCCAATAGTTAAAATTCAGGTATAGCTCCAACATAAAAAGTGTAAACAGAGAGTAAATCGATGTATGTGTATCATTCATAATCGGTGCATCATTATTAAAGTTTGACGCGTTTCCATATATTATCCTTTATGAATTTTTTTTTGAGTACTGTATCTAAGTTTTCATGAAGAAGCAATCACATTAAAAAACATTTCTAGTTTAAATGAATATTCTACCAGAAAAAAGTTTAGTGTGCCTTTGTTTTAGAATTTTTATAAGAGAAGAGAAAAAGTTTGGGTGAAACTCACACGAGTGTAAAACATAAATGACCGTTTAGTGCCCAGTGGTTGACCCAGCCTTCAGGGTGCAGAAATTGCCTACGACGTCACCATGATTAATCCCTCTCAAAATTAAGAAAGATGGTTTGTATCCCATTAACACCTGGAATTATTCTGCACAAGCTTGATAGTGGTTCCTCTAATGATCAATGATGAAGACTTGAAATATGCAGCAGGAAAAAGGACTCTCCGTCTTTTGAGATTTTTCGCTTTGACCGCAGCTTATCTTTGGCAGCCGATGGCTACGTCAGCCTATTATGGGTCTAGCTGCAGTAAGTTTGCTTTGTAGTGATGAATACGCCGCATACAGTGAAGAATACGCCGCATACAGTGAAGAATACGCCGCATACAGTGAAGAATACGCCACATACAGTGAAGAATACATTGCAAAAAGTATAGTTGCAAGGTGATCTTGACAGGTTGGTTGACTCATTTGATAGGGCTGATAAGTGGCAGCTGCGTTTTAATGCTGACAAATCTAAGATTATCCACCTTGGCAAGAATAATGAACAGCAAGATTACAGTATGAGAAGACACGGTTGCAACGACAGAGTGATGAGGTCGAAGTCGACAATGGAAAAAAATTTAGGAGTTAATGTTGACAATGAGTTGAAATTGTCGAAGCATATTGAAGCTCAAGGTAATGAAGCCAATAAACGACTTGGACTGTTCAGATGCTCTTACGAGTACATACATAGATGCTAAAGCGATGAAACAGTTGTTTGTCCGAACCTAGAGTTTGGAAACGCCGTGGGGTCACCGAAACTTGAAAAGGACAAAAATTTAATGGAGAGTATTCAAAGACGTGCAACAAGGATAATTCCGGTATTAAAAGGCAAGCCTTATGAAGAAAGATTAAAGATTATGAAGCTTCCAAGCCTCTGTTATCGACGTCTGCGTGGTGACCTCATTGACGTATACAGGTATACCCTCGGTGCAAACAGGGTCCCAGAAGGAGACCTAGAATTTGAAACAAAAAATCAACACGGGGGTCCACGGCTATAAACTAAAAACTGCGTTCACTGTTAGAAAAATTACCGTTAACGGTATTACCGGCGTTTCAGTGGCCGGTCGGCACGTGAAAAGAAACACCGTGATGTCGTTTTTATTATAATATAACACTAGAAATCAGTAAAACATCTGATAAAAACGACGAAACAGTTTATTTTCACGGCGCGACCGGCCACTAGAACGCCAGTGGGACCGTTTTTTCACCGTTTTTTCTAACAGTGTTGTAGCTCATTCATGCCACAACATTCGCATGAATGTCAAAGCCTCCCTGATAGAGTCACAGAGTCACAGCCTCCCTGCTAGCTTCATTGACGCTCCGAGTATGAACGCCTTCAAATAGACTAGACGAAGCTATGCAGGAGCATATGTTCAGTCTTAAAATGCGTAGCACCTTACGGACTTTGCAATAAGTCCATCAGATATCTTAATCAATTATTGTCAGTGATGGAAAGATCGGGTTCAAAAGGTCGGGTCCCTTGAGAATCAAGTCATGAAAAGTACAAGAATCGGCAACAGGCCATGGGCCTATTTCTTCAGTGCCGATTCTTCTATTCTATATAAAGAAGCGAGTGTTTGCAGGGTGGCCTAGTAGTTACAGTTAGTACCTAAACGGGAGCAGGGAATTGCGGGTTCGATCCCGGCGTTCTGCGACAGTTCTGGCCAAAATTGGCAAGGTGGCAGGGCGGTTCGGCACTGCATGTGGATATTGGAGCCGTGAGATACGAGGTTGAAACTTGCAACAAGCTGTAAAAATTCTGTGCTGTTCAGAATCGGCTACATGGCCTAATCTGCAACGTTGACATTATATTATGTGAAGAGTCGCAGCGAGTTCGCTCTTACACTCGGTCCTGGTCGAGTCAAATTTCAACTCAGTCTGGAGCAGCTCTCCCCAAGCCACACACCATCATGCACACTCATACATTAGTAATAAGCCTGCAGTTACTATGCGAAAACCAAGACACTCTGGATAGAAGAATCCCCGATATTATCCATCAGCTTAAAATGGTTTTTCGGGTAAAATCTGCGATATAGATTCAAGGCGGAAAAGTAAATAAGTGGTTAGATTTGCACAGCCGTAGTGCATTAGCAGCAACTAAAGGAAATTTTGGGTATAAATTGGATGGTGATAGTAGCGATCAGGACTCAATAGCAAACACTGAGTCAGGTGACCTTTTGAAGCACGTAACTTTAATATTCAAAGAGTAGCGATCACGACTCAGAAGCAAACACTGAGTCAGGTGGCCTTTAGAAGCACGTAACTTCAATATTTAGGAGTAGCGATCAAGACTCAAGAACAAGCTCTGTGACATTTGAATTACGTAGCTTATAAATCTAGAGAGTCTCAGGAGCAAACAGCGTTGGTCGAGTAGTCTTTTGAAGTACGTACCTTTAATGTCTAAATGACATATATTCTGTAGCGTATACTGTGTAGGTCATGAAGCCACATGGGTCCTGGAATGTTATCAGGTGTGATCGAAATTCCGATGCTCCAAAATATTTGAGATGCGGTGCTATATCCGTCGTTTAAAGGTCATAATTAATTCCATGACAAACATAATTTCTATTCTTGTGTGCTTTGATACATTTTAGGCAATGAACGGGGAAAAATAGCAATCCGACATTTTACGGTCATTCAAAGTAAAACTTATGTGGAACATAGCACTTTGAATCCGTAAGATGACTCCATTATTGCACGCAGGATCACGTTTTTCTCAGAGAGTCTCGTCGCAGGTCCATCAGTCAGGAATGGCGTTTTGGTGTCATTTGTATTTGATGCACAGTTGGATATGTCGCTGCCGTCAGGCCAGGTGAAGGGGAGAGACAAGTTTGTTTCGTCGCCAGTTGCACTCAACCAGGCAACTTTATCCAAACTAGGATAAACTTTGACCGCGTATTCTGTTGGCATGTAGACCATGAGTGCAATTTGAATTTCATGAAACTGTTTTTAAACAATGTATGTTAATTTATATTTCAGAGGAAAAGCATAAGTTTGAGTTTTTTTCATTTTTTAACTTTTTGCAATCAAATTCGTTTTGATCAATTCAATTCATTTTTTGAATAATTTTGAAACTAGATGTGTTGAAACGTTCTCTGATGGCTCAAATGCTTTAGAATATCCGCATAAATATCTATTCAATGGAAAGTGATGTTTTGAAAATAATTAGTCATCGATGATGCTAACCATGATTTACACAAAATAATTCTAAAATACAAGCAAGGATGGCTTCACTTAGCTAGTTTTTATATAGCTTCCTAACTATTAAGCTATTAAATATTAAGCTATTATTATTAACTATTAAGTCATCCCTAAGCATACAAGATGTATTAAGTAATTTAGTAAATGGACATGCTTTCATTTTAATATAATACGAGATTTTTCATATACAAACAAATCTCACCCTTGACGAGTTGCACTGCCTTGTCTCTGACTTGCTTGGTCTTGATGACGAGAGGCTCGCTGCCTTCTGCCCTGCAGAGACGCCGCTGGTTCGCCAGAGACCCGTCGCTTGTGTTAGCCTTGGTGATGACCACGTCTCTGATGGTTGTACCTGAAATATGTTCAAAGACTTCACCAATATCATTTTCTACTTTGTCCAAAAATATCTGTTATTCATTAAAGTTATCCAGTAAGTTACAATGAAAGAATGACGTTGATAATCCCTCATTACCATTATTTCGATTCATATGGACTGCGGTTTCGAACTGATTCATTTCGAGCTGCGGTGGGTTCACATATTTACTCGCAATCTATACCACTTATGAATATTATTATTTGTTTGTTAAGAACTGGCCAAATCAAATGCCTTCACACTAAATTCTTATCAAGTCTTCACAGACAAAATTAATATTCCAGTTGGAATTATTAATCGCTCTACTCACAGCTACTAATAATTCATTACTAATCATTCATAATTCACGTACCGTACTTGAAGAGACCAATAACGCCGGTTGTGTTCTGTACTTTTGTCTCGCACTGACTGACGTACGTGAGGTTGCACGTAGACGAGGGCTTATCGTACGTCGCTGCCGTGCACTGCGGCTGTACGAGGCACTTGGTACGACAAGCGCCTGGAATTTGTTCTCATTTTATGATATTGATTTGCGCGTTTAATGGTGTGTAGTCAAGTGTTTAGTGTTATATTTATAGTATTTTTTGGAATATTTATTAATTTTAACTTGAACAGCAGCTATGAGCATGTGTTCTAAGACTTTTAGATGCCTGAATTGAAATACATGTAGTGAGTCAAGAATAATTTGTGATGCTAGATGTGAAAGACATTTTTTAATATTTTGGAAAAGAACTATATTTAGCTTTGGAATAATTCCCTTTAATGTTATTTTCTTGACTCGGCCAATACAAGATCCACAGTTTATAAATCTTAATTATAGGCTCATTAACTTAAAATTAATATATACATACATATATATTAAATTAAAAATGGTCTACATCGAATGGAAAATGGTCGACCTCAGAATTAAATTCTGTATTATCTGTCGGAGTCTCAAAATAAAACCAGAAGCTAATAAAGAAATTCCGGTAAATATTCGATCAATTATTGATACATAAAACTATACAAAGCCATCTCCATCTCTTCACTACACAAACTATTCAGCCTCGTAACTCGACCCACACAACTCACACAAAGTGTCGCCTTTGTACGACACGTTGGGCGCGATGATGTCGATGTCTTTCATCACCACCTTGAAGGCGGGATACTCTCCAGCTGCCACCAGCTGCAGCAGCTGCACCAGCAGCAAGGCGGTCCAGTTCATTGTTGCAGCTCTACTAGATATGCTGTAATGAAAAAATAATGTTAACTAGTTGAAGTGCCAAGTTTTATAACCTGTCTTTGATGAGTCTTTGCTACACCAATAAATTTCTGAAATATTTTGAGTAAAATTGAAGAAATTTTGATGAATATTATGGCAGTCTGAAAATTGCTGGCAAATTTATTTTTCGTTTGTAACGGTTGCTGAGAACAAAGAATAAACAATTGAACATAAAGTTAGAGTTATCTACGTTCTAAACAGTGTAAACACTTGAGACTTCGTTTGACGATATTTTTTGAGTCCCAAATGTTGTCAAAATTTTTTTCACGCTAAATTAAACCAGTTCAACTAGGATATTCTTGGATTATTCAGTTTTGCAACAAGAAGAATAACTGGTATTATGACAAGATTTTTTTTTGTTATAAGTGGGGTAATTGCCGGAAAATATTTGCTTGAAAATAAAAGCGAATCGATTTCTTACTTCGTGATTCAAAAATTTCCCTAGATTTTTTTTCAACAAATAATCAAATATTTTAGATTTTTCGAATTTATTATCATGATAATTTACGGAGGAATTTATCAATACATTATTGCTTGCTTATATACGGAATTAAACTCGTTAAATTGCGCCAGTGAATGCAAAGCTCGTTTATATACATAATTGTAATTTGCATCTGTGGCACAATAAGAAATAAACTTTCCTTACGTATAATACCAATTTTCGAAATAAATTAACATTCAGAATTCATTGCAGATTTTATTTTAAGCGTGCAGGTATTTATTTTATTTTAAGCTTGCAGACATTCATTCTATTTTAAGCGTGCAGACATTCATTTTATTTTTAGCGTGCAGACATTCATTGCATTTTAAGCGTGCAGACTTTCATTATACTTTAAGCGTGCAGACTTGCATTATATTTTAAGCGTGCAGACTTTCATCTTTTCTTGGCCGCTCACGATGCACCGGCTGCACCCATCGTTGTCGCTTGTCATCTTAGTCTCTGCTACGGGTTGAGTCTCTGCTACGAATTGAGTCTCTGCTACAGGTTGAGTCTCTGCTACAGATTGAGTCTCTGCTACGGATGGCTTCTGCTACGGTTGGTCTCTGCTACGGTTGGCCTCTGCTACGGTTGGTCTCTGCTACGGTTGATCTCTGCTACGGTTGGTCTCTGCTACGGTTGGTCTCTGCTACGGTTGGTCTCTGCTACGGTTGGTCTCTGCTACGGTTGGTCTCTGCTACGGTTGGTCTCTGCTACGGGTTGAATTGCTGCTATGCGCTGCGCTTGAGAAGCGGAGGCTGAGACTTAATGAAGTTCATTGTGATGAATATTGAACATTAAGCCCAGTGTTTGCGATGAGTTTTGTGAATTAAGCCCAGTGTTTGTGATGAATATTGAACATTAAGCCCAGTGTTTGAGATGAATATTGTGAATTAAGCCCAGTGTTTGTGATGAATATTGTGCATTAAGCCCAGTGTTTGTGATGAATATTGTGCATTAAGCCCAGTGTTTGTGATGAATATTGTGCATTAAGCCCAGTGTTTGTGATGAATATTGTCCATTAAACCCAGTGTTTGAGATGAATATTGTGCATTAAGCCCAGTGTTTGAGGTGAATATTGTCCATTAAACCCAGTGTTTGAGTCGGGTCTCTGATCTAGCATGGGAGCTAGCCAGAGTTCCGTACACTCAGTTAAATTGATGGGTCATATTATCACAATAGTGACGGCCATGCTTCGTGAAGCACTGATACGTCCTTTTCTGGGTTAAGATGACCCATATATAAAGGCAAGGTTGCAGTGCCAAAGTTGCTATTTGGCCAGAGACAACCTGACAAAATGCACGACGATCACTTATCCGGTGTCTTCGAAACCGCAGCACGTTGCTTATCTGCATCTGCTTAGTTTTTGTGATAAAAGTTATTGATACCTGATCTGCAAACTATACTTATTTCAAACAAAGACTATTTTGTAAACTAAACTAATATTGTGAAAAATAATCTATACTCAGTAAAATGTTTATTGATAGATAATAAAAATATATAATGTATATTTTTCATTTGAATAGGTTGTTATGCAAGAGATTTTATCACGATCTTGTAATAGAGCCTGTACCAGGATGTTATAAAAAAGTTATTTAATTTAAACTGTAAATGAGCATGTATGTATACTTTTTAGCAATGTAAACGCGTTGGTTCTGTTTTATTCATAATTAGAAGTCAAAAATAAGTGAAAATAGAAACGCGGTACACAAGCGTGGTGCAGTGGCAGCCTCAGGCAGGATTTTATGTTCAGTTTTCTCATTAATTTTACCTGAGATTTTCTTATATATACCAGGCGGCAGAGGAATAACAAGGTGCATTACAAAGAAACATGGAAGCATCGAGAGAATTTTATTTCAACCTTCATGTAATAACTTGCAAACAAAACAGGAGAGATATATTGCTGATGAACAGCCTGAGTTTTCAACATTTGTAATTTTCCTTTATGTTGTTCACTGTAAACTTCTCGGAAAACTTCGATCTCAGCCGTCATTATCACTCGTTTGGCGTTCAGTTTTCGGAACAAAAGTCACACACGTGCTTTTAATTTTAATGTCCATGCAGTACATTAGTGAAGAAAAGCAGATGCAGTGGAGATCAAAGTTTTTTTATGTAATAACCAGGCCATATATGTACCCGATAGCTAATTTTTTGCAGCCGTAAAGCTCCCGGGTTAAAAATTTTCTCGCTCCTGAAGGTTTTCCAAATTTAAAGTGATAAAGTCACATTAATTTTGAGAACTAAATTTAATTAATGGGCTGTTAAGTCATCCAAAGTAAATGGATTCTGCTGCGCCATATCCCGAGACTTAAACGATGATACCTAAATTACGCTGATGGAAGGTCAAAAGTTTAGTAGTCAAAATACATACACTCAATTCCAACAGGGAAATTTTACAGTTAATAGTTTTCTATTACCAATGTCGTTAGGCAGGGAAAGATCATATTAACATGAACATATAAATCAGCTAACGTATCACCAAATATCAACGTATATTCATCATAATATTTTCTTACAGGAATCTTCCTACAGCTGAAAAAGTGAAGAGGTGGTACAATTTACATAGAAAATGCTTGGAATACGTGAAAATAATTGCCCGTCACAACGATGAAGACTTTGGGTTGCATGGCTAATGCATTTAGATTTATGTGAGAATTTTAGACTGTTTACGATATTGAGTCAAACTAAGAGCGGATCGGAAAAAAGAATAAGACGAGCTTTTCTGGGTCACCGGGACACATCAACTCGCCTGCATAATAGTGTGGACAACCCTTGATAATAAGGATGAAAATTCAAATTCGGCATGCATAGCATGGGATGTAGAACAAATGCAAAAACCTCTGTGTAATCATATTTGAAGACCATTCAACTTGAATCGGAATGAACAAAAACTAAACAAACTAGTACTTAGGCCAGTGAATGTCGGTTTTCGGAACAGAGAAGTAAAAAAACGGCAATTAGATTTGGTAACATTGCAATCGAGGAAGGACAAACAATTGTTAGATTCAAGGTCTATAGTGAATTTGATAGAATTATGTTGTAAGGTTACGTAATCAAAGAATGGTTCGATATAAGTGGGATGTTTGAAAATTAAAAAGGTGTTAACGATTTTCAAACATCCCTCTCATGTCAAACCATTATTTGATTACGTAAACTCGCAGTATCATTCTATCAAATTTGCTATGGAGCTTGAATCTCCATGACTTTGTCCTTCCTCGATTGAAATTTTTTTCAATTTAAGGATATCATTTTTAAGTTGTTAATAAATGAATGAATGTAATATTTTTATTACATTCTTCATTTCAAACTGTAAAGTGTTTTATCATCCTTAAAACAAAAAATATGCAATTGGGGTAGAGGGACCAGGGGTGGGCGCCTTGCCCAAGCCTATGGGCCCATTGCCCCAGGGGTGGGGCAATGGGCCCATCTTGGCACTTTTTACAAAGGAGTGTTTAACTAAAAATTAAATTACTCTATAGGCTTCTAATTCGAATCATACATTCCTCATTAGTTGTAACTTTAAACAAAAAAATGAACAAACTCGTATCAATTAGAACTTCATCAAAAATTTAGTTTAAAAAAGGGGTGGGTGCGCTGCCCAATGTTACCCTAAGTACTTTTTGTACAAAACTTTAGCGCGACCTCCCTTTTTAGTGGAAGGAATGATTGCATTTCACTTGAGATATAATGTCAAGAAAACAATATAATTATACTAATTTACTTAATCTGAATTATGTTGGGTGAACACAATAGCTTTAAAAAAGAAGGATAGGCCCGAGCTGCTGCCCGGTGAACGTCCTCTGAATCGGGAGCAGGAGCTTCACCTGGCTAGTGTCAACCAGCCATGTGGTAGCACAGGGAAACTGACGCGCTAAGCTCCGTGCAGCCCATTCTGTCATAGGAAATGCTAACTGATTTGAATTATACGAAAACCAAATAGAAAATTAGAACAAGCTGAACATTAGGGTCCGAAATATTGTTAAATGCTTAAATTTACGGACATAGTAAACAGCTATGCTCTTAAAATTTTATGGTCATCTTAAAATTAGAGATTTATAAAACTACTGCATACTGTAACTGACTGCAAGCTTTGGCGTGTTTGCCTGATTTGTATTTCGCATTTGACTTCTGAATTTCCGCACACAGAATCTTGTATATCTTGACAACTTCATCGTCAAGTTAGTCTTGGCAATTCCAAGCTCAGCTTTATCCTTTTATTACACCCACGAAGCAGAAAGAAAGCGTAAGTGAATATCTAAAACTCTCACTCTCTTGCTGTCTCTTTACACTCTGACGTTGATCAAAATAGTTTCGTATTTATAATGTATTATTTGAACCCAGGATATCAAAGTACAGAGTTCTGAACAGTGAGTCAGTGACCAGTTTTTAATGATGAGTGACCACTCATTACATTGCTGTCGTTGAAAAAATCTAGAAATGGCGTAAAAAATTCGCTCTGAGTCTCTGACTTCTAATTCAAATGCAAGATTCACTCACACACACCCTAAATATATCGTCCACTTTCAAGTGCCTAAATTATCGATGTTCACGCAGTTGGTGAGCACATTCAATGCGTATGTAGATAATGCAACGATGCAGAACTTCCGCCTTCCATTCCGCAATCTAAACTTTAGTGAATCCTGGACCAATTGCGTCACGACCGGAAAACTTCTCATCCGCACTTCTGTTGGATGACGTGTCATTTATTCATCTGCTCCACCTGAATCCAAGATGAATAAATAAATTGTTTTCTGCCCAAAATTTGCCTGCATAAGGTTTATCTCGAATCATGACGAAATAATGGAAAATTAATCGTTTAAAAATAAAGATTAAAAATGCGAATCGAATATGAAGATGATACTAATTATTATCTACTTAGCTTGCATTGTTTGGTGTTGTTGGTGTAATAAAAAACCTTTTAATAGCTTCTAAAAGTTTTTTACATGTAGAAGTGTCAGAAGCATATCCCAGCCTTCTGACTTTATGTCCTTGTGTCGCTTGACTGTTAGGCATGAATTTTCATTGCAGTCACTTTTTTCTTAATCCTAACTAGAGTCCATGCAATCCTATACATGATAGGTGCGGACCGCTGCGTGTTTAATGAATACCAGCACATGTGTTTTTTCACATATAATAAAATTAGAAATGAAATAATCAGTGGCCGCAAGGCGTTGTTGGGATGAAGTCTTATAGTTGGTCTACGGATCAGTCATGTTTTGGTTATATCGCTGCCACAGTCTCCTCAGACCGTTTTCCCTAACATTATGAAGCAATAACCGAATGCACCAAGCACTTTAAAAGGACGGAAACTTAAGTATCAAAAATAAAATACTTAAAAAAACTTTAAAAAAAAACCACGCTTTTCTTGTGGACTAAAAAGTAGAAAATAAATTATGGCTCGCCCCAAAAAACGTGTGTCGGGCAGATTTATGATTAAA